CTCTTCTGTCCTCTGCGGGCATTGCATGACATGGGTACACTTACATACATGCAGGCAATATATGCATACACATAAAATAAAAATAATAAATAAAAAAAATTTTAAAGAAGAAGAACTCTCTCACACCCAGCAATGATCAGTTGCCAATAGTTCCTGACCTAAGTTTGGAGCTTCTTACCTATTTTCCCACTTCTGTACTGGGTTTCTGTCTAATTTGAGTTTGCATGGGTCTTGTGCATATTGTCATCATTGCTGTAAGTTCATATGAGCAAGATACCAGCAGCCTTGTGATCATCCACCACCCCTGGCTCTTACAGTCTTTCTGCCCCTCTTCTGAAGTGGTCTCTGAGCCCCAGGTAACTACGGTTTAAAAAAAAAGTTATATCCAGGGACACACATTCTGCAGTGTCTTATTCTCTACATTCTGGCTAGTTGTAATTTTATGTGTTAATCACCATCTGTTGCACAAAGAAACTTTGCTGGTGAGAGTTGAGAGATGCATTAATATTCTCCCTGCCCCCCATTCTACTATGTTCCCTGAGCCTTAGGCAGAAAGGTTGCATTACAGATGTGTCACTTGGGACTGGGCATCTCACAGACACTTATTCTCTGCATTTGACCAGTTGTGGAACTCTGTAATAGTCTCTGTCTGTTGCAAAAAGAAGCTTCTTTGATGAGTGGTGAAAGGGATATGTGTTTGTAAATATAAGGATTCATACTTAACATAAAGTAAGAAATTACATTTGTCTAGAGATATGGATGTGACAGACGTAGGGTTTTCTCTAGGATCTATGACCTCTCTAGCCATGTATACGTGGTTATGTTTATAGTACTATGCATGACTTCCTTCCCATTGAATGGGCCTTAAGTCCAATTAGATAGCTGTTGATTACCCCCAAGATAAAAGTGCCCCTACTGCACCAATAGAGGTAATTTACTACACAGGTTATTGTTATGGTTATTAGGCTTTAAAGCTGGATTGGACCATTGATTGGCTTTCTTCTTTAGCAGCTTGCACAGTACCCTCTGATACTATGATACTATGAGAGTTAGTCTTCAATGAGGAGCCTTTCAGGTCAGTTCCAGCTCCACTGCTCAAAGTCTTGTGTCTGAAGTATGTTCAGTCTTCAGCAATAGGGTCTTATCTTCAAATTCTGGGAAACAATCAAGGGCTGTGACAATAGCCTGTGTTATTTTGGGAGTCTCTTAGACTACCCTGACCAACAACTTGAAGGGAGTTTCTCTTGTCTGGCACTGTTTCTTGTTATATAGCCTTCAGCTATATACATGCATAAATATATATAATGTGTATATATAGTATATATTTATATATAGCATATGCATTTTAGCTTATTTTTTACCTTTATTGATGAATTATTTTTAATCTTTTTTTAAATTTTTAATAACTACATGATTAGATGTTCTAGGTTCACAGTTGAGTTCATACAGTTATACAATACTGAACTCAGTATAAGCCCTGTAAGACATAGAATTGAATGAGTTTTTTAACCTTTAAAAATTTCTCCATTTCATTTTAGAATATATTGTTCCTTGAAGAAAGACATTGTTTTTGCTACTAACACTGAGATGTTGGCGCTTGCATCCCTAATCTGTATGTATCTGATAATTACTAGTCATAATCGGTTGCACTTGGATCACTGGCGCCTCTGTATGTCTATGAAGTCATCGGGTGGATTTCAATGGTAATGTTTATCACCTCTACTAACTAGCATGATGTAAATTTCCATCCTTCCTCCTCAAATATAATACATTTTTTAATTTGGGGTTTTTTTGTGTGTGTGTATGTGTATCTATCACACAGACCATCCCAAACCATGTTATTCAACTATACACCCACTTTCAAGATGGCACCCTCCCATAGCCTCCCTCCCCCCACTAGAGCCCTTATA